GATTGCCAATAGTAAAGTGCATAGCGGACTCTCTACGATGAAAAAAATGACAACTACATCATTCTATGGGATTCATTATCTGAAATATCTTCGATGCAAAAGATATGCATCCCGTTTGGGCAGGGAGAATGCACCTCGCTTCGTATTGGACTACTAGGAAGCACATCAGAAGATACTCATACTGCTGCAAAATTGCACTTACTGCGCTCTGCATTCCCAATTCATGTGCAGAGTAAAGTCCCAGAGGTTCGTCCTGACGACGCGTTGAAATTTGACGTGGCGACGTGTTGAAAGTTGACGTGGCCACTTTTAACAGTGTTGGACTTGCATCGGCAAGAAAATTGAGATGTCTTTTTGGCCAGCCACGATAGAGCGCGTTTTGAAAGGGTTGGAGGCGATGACTTTCAGCCAATTCGTGATGATGATTTATTATTTTGAGGAAGTGATGACGCGTGTGAAAAGTGCACGTGAAGAGGGGACGAGCGGCGTGGCGACGATCATGTTCAAAGATTCGTGTCTGAGCGAACGGTGGAGAAACCAGGAGAAACCTGATAGCGAGCTGGTTAACCATGAGCAAAGCAAGGTAGGTAGCCAATCCCTTTTGAAAGCAGTTGGAAGGCTGTATGCGGTTAAACATCGCGTTGAAAGCTGAGGTAGTATTGACAAATTGCTCCCCTTAAGCGCCAGACTTTTAGTTCTCAAAAAATCAGTGAAAATAAAAATACTAACATGATTATATGTCTATGTTGTTCACAGACAGCTTTCAGAACGAGAATCTTGGTTCTCACTGCCATTGATGCTGTCGTTGGCTGATTGGATTAAAGACTTCAGGTAGCGGGAAAATGCAGAGGTCAAAGGCTGTACGCGTGCAGAGGCTTGTCAATGGAACGCCGCACAGCAATTGAGCCATCCGCAGGTAGTAAGCGCTAGAAGTCGGTGGTGTTGAGGGCGTGGAACATGGCCTCCAGAACAGTTCGCCCGGATCCCTTGGCCCATTCTTGTAAGTTCGGTTCATTTTGCAGGATAGTGGTGTTATTTTCTCATTTGTTAATCAGATGGCAGCCCAGACGTCTTTGGACGTTATCACAATCCTAACGGAGACACCATTTTTCAGTTTCACGAGCGTCCTGAAGGGGAATGTAAGGAGTTTTCTTTTCCGAATCATGACAAGGTCTGATAATTCTCTAGCTGAATTCACGGCGTATGACGCTTTGTCCCTGGCAGAGCTCAATGAGGCGTACAGAGCGCTAAATTCAGATCCCACCCCGCCCCCGTACTTGGAACCTGGTCAAACGATTCCGAAGCGAATGATCGTGACATCGCCAAACATGTGCTGGATGCCCTTCATCTCATTACTCCCCCGCCCAGTTCGTGCACGTGCAGACGGCCGTTTTGCTTGGGCCAACTTCACTGTATGCCCTCAATGGTTTATTGATAGCCAATGGCATCTGCCGTTTGTTAAAGCGCGGCCACCTGAGGCTACCATCAAGAACCACGAACTCAGTTTCTGCTGGTG